CAGACGATGCTGAAATATTAAATAGCATTACGACGCTGTTTGAAACGACAACATGACACGTCTTACTGGATTTATAACAAAATTCGAGTTTTTACGACTTTAAGGCCCGGTCCCACCAATGGTTGATAGAGGCTCAGATAGCTTGAAAATCCGATATTTTCATCAGATATTTTACATTTTGGATTGTTATCAGACAAACTATAATTTGGTGGGACTGGCCCTAAGGCTTATATTTATTTTCAGTACTGTTCGTAATTTACAAATTGAAGTAATTATCGGATTTCATCATTACTCCATTAGTCTTTTATCCTGAGTAAGTTCAGTGCGGCTTGTAAATCGCCATGAATATTTATTTTCAAAGCAAATATTTGAATATATCCTTCCAAAGTCGTTTGTATAAGGATATGTGAACACCTTTTTCTTCCTAAACGCTTCAATCAGTAGGTCGATATCCTTCCTTTGTAGCGGGAAGTCGATGTCGGGGCCGCGGGCGGCTTTCGGGGGCGCCGTTTCGTCTACACCCCCGCCCTCGTCAGACTCCTCAGAAAATACTTGTTCCACTAAAATAAAATGTATTTATCAATGTCACGTACGAGTGTATTCAAATGGATTCCAAAGCTAACGTAATAGACTACGAATGTGTTACATATATGCGTCATCCTAAACGACCAATACTCTATCACTAGAAGTGCTGCTATATTACTATCTAAAACATTATTTTAGCGTTTATTGCATTAAAATAAATTAAAATCTTATTACTCAAATAATGGTTTTTAAAATCACACATTTGATTAGGACTAGACATAGATAAATTTTCTGAAAACTTTTATCATAGTTAGCTAACTAACACAAATAGCTATTTGTGTTCCATTTTCGCCATCGACTTCGAAAGAAATTCATCGAAGGTGATAGAACATCTCAATATGTGAAAAAGCTAGCGAAGTATTTAACTTGGAGCGAAATGGAAAAGTGCTCCGGGCGCCTTTCACACACGCTATTTTATTCATTCGTCTGATTGCATTGCTATGTAATTTTGTATTATTTGAATAAAGAAATGCAAAGAAAAGATTAATATAATAAAGCGGAAACACACACTTCTTTGTGGCGTAAGATGTCAGCAATCACAGCATACTTTTGAATAATTATTTTTTAATAAAAACCCCTACACTTACGCCACTCTTTCGTTTATATATTTTCACGCTATTAAACTTAGGGGGTAAATAAATTGGATAAAACATCGAATTTTTAAATAACAAATGATAGACAATAACTTACAAACAGAGGCAGTCCTTGAGGTCCTCTCGGATGAGGGGCGACCACTTGTATCACGCATGTGACTCAGCAAGGCGTTGAAAAAGTTGTATAACTGAAAAACAAACTACTGTAAGAATCTATTTTCTAAATACATATATATATAATTATAATTGAAAAATTAAAACTACTCAATTCAGTTGGCTGCATTTTAATTTAAACGTGTGCAAATATGAATTGTTAGATCAGGTCTATGTTGCGTTCTTGCTATGATTAATGAAGCCCCACAGCGCGTGACACTAACTATCCAGGCACGCCGCGCCTGCATGCATGTCGATGTCAAGTTAGCGTGTACACACTCAGTAATCAACCCTCGCCGTTCTCAGCCCATACCTACTGAGGAAAATAAGCCGTTCTATGTTCGTATTAAATTACATATCTAAGTAAACTGTTATTATTATACAATACACCATTGAATTAAAATTTTGTAACGAATCACTATAACAAGCGTATTCTAAAATAATTTAATTGTTGATATCTTTTACATTCCGGTGGAAAACTTTCTCTCTTATTAAAAGCGGGGTATATTTGTAAAACATATCACTTACTTTTACTTGATCTTGTTCTCCGGCGTATTCTATACTTTGGAATATGGTCCAGGTGTACCGTCTGCGGACCTCCATCCGAGCAAGGTATCGACGATACCACTGCTGAATCAAGATGGCCGCCTTCATCGCTGCCATAAAAAAATTCTTTAAAGATTCAATTGGTTTACCAAAATATGGCAATAAAGGACAGTTATCAACAGAATAACGAAGAAATCAAAGATCACGTTGATGTTCAGTGCAGCAAAATTTTGCCTGAAACCTTCCAAGCGAAAACTAGATTACACGAGAATTCTATTCAACATTTTCACAACTCTGCATTGAATCGCTAACCAAACGACACTTTTGTAACATGGAAAAGTCAATATTTCAAGTTTTAACCCAGGTTATTAGGTTAGTAGGTAGATCAGAGAGCAAATGATGAAAGATAAGCCGCAAATATTATGGTTGGCATTTTTTTCTCATGCAAACTAAAGCAGTATACCTAAAGGTATAGAAAGTTTTGAGACTAGTAACTTTACTGTATTTAAATTCAATAAAATGTACTGAGAAATAAAATACAAACCTCGAACAGACTTTCGAAACTCTAAACTGGGTTCCAGACTTTTCTAAACTTCTTACAAGATAAATAGGATTAGGGGAAAGTTTACAACTTTTTGTAACTAGATTAAACGTCAGAGTAAAATAAAAGGATATTTATTTATTGACGTAATGTCCTTGAGAGAATTCTTTAACATTCATATATAATATCATTAAAATAGTAGACATATGATTGTCTACCAGTATTTTTATGAGTTATGGACAGCAAGCGTTTCTATTTAACCATTATTCGCATTTATAACATTAGAAAGAAGCAAAATTAGTCCGCAGTACATAATAATAAATATCACTACAAAAAACGTATCTAAAATTATGTTGCACAAATTTCATAGAACAAAACAAATTGGTCTGTGAAAATGTTGCATCACTTCTGTAGAATGAACTACTTCGCGCTAATGAAAGCCGTTTCGATCCCAATTCGACGAACTTGTATACTCTTTCCAGTATACTTTTATAAATGTCGTGTCTAAAATAACTCGACTCTATTCCATTCAGACATCATGCTGTACTATTTAGAGATATGACGTAAAAAGAATAATATACGCTTTCGTTAAAAGAAACAAAAAAGTATTTATTTAATAATATACCTACAAAGTTTTAGGTTGTTACTAAAATGTATTGATAGCGATAGCCACTTATCAAATGAAAAACTTGCATGTCGCCACTCTACCATTAAAATGTCATACGCACGAAATAAAGAACAAAAACATGTTCGAATTTCAAATAAAAAATTAAAATCATGCAACACTCACTTCTTTCAGCTTTTGTCATGCTGACGTCATCCTTCTTCCAAAACTTCAGGAACGGTGCCAACGCTTTCATTGTGCATTCACCGTTCAATACTCTCTTACCCAATTTTTTGGGTACCTCCTGTTCTATTTCGGAACTTCTACAGGAAGAGGAGTCGTCTCCCATTGAACGAGTCCGTCTCCCGCCGCGGAAGCTGACGCAGCCGCAGCCT